CAGCACATTTACTAACACTGGTACACAAAATACATACTTCATGACTTATAGGGTTGAGGTTAAATATTGATCACAGAAAACTATGACTAGCTGTTTTAAAAAGGGAGTAAAGGGATAGGGGTTCTTAAGAGAAGGAAGTAACTATTATGGATAATATTTCCAAACAGAAATAAACCTTGAGAGCAGCTAATTTCTTTTCTTTTTACGATTTATTTATTTTTATTGCAAAGTTAGATATACACAGAGGAGAGACAGAGGAACATCTTCCAACTGATGATTCACTCCCAAGTGACCACAACAACTGGAGCTAAGCCAGTCTGAAGCCAGGAGCCAGGAACCTCTTCCAGGTCTCCCACATGAGTGCCGGGCCCCAGAGCTTTGGGCCATCCTCGATTGCTTTCCCAGGCCACAAGCAGGGAACTGGATGGGAAGTGGAGCTGCCAGGATTAGAACTGGCACCCATATGGGATCCCAGTGCATTCAAGATGAGGACTTTAGCCACTAGACCACCGCGCCAGGCCTGAGGGCAGCTAATTGCTAAAGAGAGATCCAGAAAGACAAGGCAAAACCATGAAATCTGGGCCGACACTGGCACAGCAAGTTAAGTTTCTGTCTGCAGGCCAGCATCCCACATGGGCATCAGTTCAAGTCCCAGTTGCTCCACTTCCAATCCAGCTGATCATGAAATGGCCTCAGAAAGCAGTAGAAGATGACACAAGTGCTTGGACTTTTGTATGCATGTGGGAGAATTGGATGCAGCTCCTGGCTTCTGGCTTTGACTTGGTCTAGCCCCAGTTGTTGTGGCCATGTGGGGAGTAAAGCAGCAGATGGAAGGTCTCTCTCTTTCTCTGTCTCTGTAACTCAAATAAATAAGTAAATATATATATTTTAAAGCTATGGAATCAGGCCAAGCATGATGACTCAATGGCTAAATCCTCACTTTGCAAGCACCAAGATCCCATATGGGTGCTGGTTTGTGTTCCATCTGCTCCACTTCCCAACCAGTTCCCTACTTATGGCCTGGGAAAGCAGTAGATGATGGGCCAAAGCCTTGGGACTCTGCACCTTTGTGGGAGATCTGAAATAAACTCCTGGCTTCTGGCTTTGGTTTGACTCAGCTCTGGTCATTGCAACAATTTGGGAAGTGAACCAGAGAATGGAAGATCTTTTTCTTTGTCTCACCTACTCTTCGTAAATCTGATCTGCCTTTTCAATTAAAACAAATAATAAATCTTAGAAAAAAAGAACTATGGCATCCTAGATGGACTGGAGAGATTTGGGGCCAGAAATTAAGAGGTTAGGTCTGATTCCTAAGGGGAAGGAGGGGCTGTGACCAGGGTTAGAGGTCAGCAAGCAGGGCAGCAGAGCAGAATCTGCCTATGAAAACAGCAAATGTGGGAGTGTTAATGTAAGGTCAAGAGAGCTGAGTCTGAGACTCAGACTCCAGTGGTTTATGTCTTGTGTCCAGCCTTCACCACACTAAGCATTCTCTACTCCCTCATCTACACCCCTCTGCTGTGGGAGCATGGATGACCCTCCTGCATAAGCTTAGGGAAAGGTTCTGAGAGGGAAGGTCAAGGTTTTAAACGAAAGTCTTGGGAGTATTCATTCCAGCTGCCTAAAAGCCACTTACCGCAAACATTGCCTATGGTGTATAAAAGGTTCAGGAATGATACTTAAAAGGAGGAGGTACTATACGCTCTGTGAGGCAGGACTGACCTCTATATGTGGTTTCTAACTTTGTGATTCGGCAGCCCATGTTGTAGAAATCTTCTGGAAGTCCCCATCTGGATGCTTAAGGCAGGGTCGCAGTGGGTGGAGGCCACCGAATGTTCTAGGCATTGCCAGATGCTCTGGTTGTTGGGCATCCTGCCTGGCAGGCAAGCAGTCACCATGACAATCCCCCCCCCCCATCAGTGCTTTTTATTTATTTTTTTTTTCATTTCTCCTCTTCCAATAAGTTCCAAGGTATTCTAGGGACAGGGGAAGACGCTGTTGGGACACAATGTCCTCTGCCCCAGAAACAGGAGCAGGAAATGGAAAATGGGGCGGGGGAGCAAAGAGCTTTGTTTGTTATTGTTGAGGAAACCTTTTTCAGGATCAGTGCATATGTGCCTGCTTCTGACTTGAAACGTGTGCCTTGGGTTGTGTGCCAATGCACGTCCCCTGCAAAGGGGTGAATCACAGTTGATCTGCCTGTTTGCCTTCCTGCTTCTCTCCCATTTCCACTGCCCCTGTGCTGGGAAAGCTTTGCAAAGGGAATGCTGAGTCACAGCTCCAGCTCAGTTCCCCTCTCCCATCTTCCTTCTCCCGTCTTCCCTGCATCCATCCTTGGACCTGCTGGACCCTCTGGACCAGCTTTTCACGCGTGGGACACACTTACCCCAGGTTCACTCCCTGGCAGTCAAGGGAAAGCACACTGAAGTTTCAGCATCAACTCCCTCACCCCGCCCCCTCAGAAGACTACTCCAGTTCCAGCTCCTCTCCCCTGCAGTCCTCCCTAAGAAAACAGGGCTCTGACCAAAGGTAACCCAAAGGCTAATGCTTCCATGTACTCCTGCTGATCCTCCAGTTGCTCTGTCCCTAATCGGATTATGGCAGGGGCTCGTGCCTTGTCGCAGGGCGAGGAAAGTGAGGTTCAACTTGACACACTCACTGAGGCTTTTTTCTCTCCTTGTAGGTCTCCAGTACCAGACCTGATGCTGCTGGAAGCGCATGTAGGCGTGAATGTGGGGCTAGTAAAGATGGAGAGTGCCCTGTCTAGGGGCAGCATCTAAGGACTTCCCGGGGTCCGGATGTTTGGAGGTCTCTGTTGACTCTGGGGTTTCTTTCCCATCCTCCTAACCCCTCCCGCGGCCACCCAGCTCCCGTCCCGTAGACTCCTCTAACTCAGAAAGCTCAATCAAGTAGTTAGTCTCTCTACCGAGTGCCAAACAAGGCGGGCTGAGACTGTTTACCCAGCCAGAGGTGGAAAAAGGGAGAGACAGCTCCGCCCGCTCGGTCTGGTTACTATGGCGACAGCCGCGGGGTGACCCAAGTGATCCTCACTCCCTCCTCCCAAACTCGATGACGGCACCGCGCTGACTGCGCCAAATTCCAGCCAATGGGCGACTGCTCCCGCCTTCCCTTCCGCCAGCTCTTCCCCTCCCCCGCGGGAACTCGATTCACAAATCTGGACAGGGATTTCCGGCGTCGGGCCGGGTGCAAGGGCCCTGGGCCCTGGCCAGGGGAGACTTGAGTCCTGTCCTTCCAGCACCAGTGGAAGCCCAGATTCCTGGGTCTTCGGACCAGATTTCTGTCACTCGCCGCCAAATTAGAGAGCTCACTTTCTTGCTAGATTAACTGGAAGACCTGATGGAGGTCGAGTCCGCAATCGTTCCTGCACCTGCCATCCCCACCCCCCGCCCCGCCCGCGCTGCCCCAGCGCGTCCGTCAGCACCACGGACAGCGAACGCGGGGCCTGGACAGCGCCGGCCCCTCCGGGTTCTGCCCAGGACCTGCGCCACCATCACCGCCAGCAGGGTCGGAGCCTTGAGCGTCCTGTTAACGCCAGGCGTCTTTGGGCCAGTGAAACAGAAAGGGGCGCTTGGCCATGTGGCAGAGACGGCAATGGAGACCTAGTGCGGACCTCATTTTTCCTCTTCCTCCAAACCTACCCCTAGCCACCTACGTCCAGGAAGGGCTAGGATCTGAGTCTCAAGCAGGATTGGGTCTCTCAAGATTGCCCCAGATGGGTGTGTGACCCAAACAGGCCAGTGCTGGTGGCGGTTGGTTGCTTGGGAGCCCTGAATGTGGCCTTCAGGCCCACTGGGAGTGATGGTCACAGACAGCCAGGCTTGAGGGGAAGACAGGTGAGGACTAGAAAAACAGTGACAATGATTAACTAGTCCTGTTGCATGGGGTCACTTCACAGAAGAGGGACAACCAGTGTCCTTAAGTGGCCTGAGTGCTAATGAAGCGCTAGGTCAGACAAAAGGGTGGTAGGGTGGGGTAGGATTCAGCCTTACCAAACCTTAGGCTAACTTGTTTCACTCTGTGAAAGGGCAGCCCCCTATGGAAGAGATAGGGGTAGCAGTTCTCAGGACCCTGGCCTCCCCCACGACACCCCCATCCCTTGCCCTTCTCTGTCCAGCTGGTAATCATTCCACCTGTGTTCCCTCCCTCCCGGGACCCAAAGAAATGCCGCGCAAAACCATCTGCAGGCGCTTCCAGCGCTTTATAGTTCTCTCCGGGACAGACCGACGGACAGACAAGGGCGTCCCACATCGTCGGCCCAGCCATTGGCACCTTGGACATGGCCCCAGGCCCAACCCAGCCCCTGGTACTCTCCAGGGAGGATTCCGGTCCCGCCCAGCTCAGCACCTCGGACAGTTCCCTGCCCACCCTCCCACCCCTCCCCCCTCCCTCCGGAAACAAGGAAATAAATTAAAGGGGGTTGTGGGGTGGGGGTGGGGGTGTGGGGACAGAAAAACCTAGGGATAGGAAGAAGGCCATCCCTCCCCCAGGGTAAGAATAGTTTTTTTTCTCTCTCTCTCCTCCATTCACTGTGGCGCCTTGGCCGGGGTGGTGTCCTAGATGGATTTTGTCCCCCAAAACCTTAGGCTCCTGGTTGAAGCCGCAGCCTATACCCCTCCCCTCCCCCGCCCCGACTCCCAGCATGCAACACGTTGGAAAAGGTGGGGAGAGCGGTGGGGGGTGGGGCGAGGTGGTGTCGGGGCGCCTGGGGCTGCAGTATATCCTGGCACCTCAATTAAAAACTGATGTTCCTTGTGATCTGGGGAGGGGGGCTATAGGGACCCTGTCAGGGGAAGAGAAGGGGGTGACACAAGCAGAGGAGGAAGGGAGACAGGAGGAGGTGAGGCTGACACATGGCAAGGAGAGGGCGCACGAACGGGAGGTGGGGGGTCGCAGAGGCGACAGGAGAAATGGACCATAGGGTCCGGGTCAGTCAGGGGGTCATCTGGAGGTGGACAGAACAGGAAGGGCAGAGAGGGGGGTTGGGAAAGCAGGCAGGAGGAATAACAGAGACAGAGGAGTGGCAAGAAAATGGGCAGCGAAGGGGAGATGAACGCAGAGACGCGCAGAGCAGGGCGGGTGGCGACAAGCAAAAATGGAGAGATGGAGGCACAGACAAGGACAGGATGAGGTGGGGGTGCCCTTCCCGTGCCCACCCCCACCCCACGCCCAGCAAAATCCAGATGCCACGGCCCCTAGCGTCCTGGCCTCCACCTGCGCTGCGGAGCAGGGGCGGTTCCTCTGGCGCCTAGCCCCCGCGCGGAGCGGCAGTGACAGCGGCGGTGGCTGGAGGGTCCAGGGGCTCCGAGTGTGTGTGTGGGCTGGGGGCTGGGGCGGGGCGGGGCGGGGGACAGGCGCGGTCCCTGGGGCATCCCCTAACGGTCCAGGTTCATAGTCCAGTGCTTGGATCCGACCGCGCAGCTGTCCCTGGCGGCCGAGGGAGCGGCGGGCGCGCCTCCGCCGGGGGGACCCCCGGCGCCCGCGGCGACCTCGCCCTCGTTCTTGAGGTCTTGGAAGACCTGCGTGAAGAAGTGCGGGTCGGCGTTGAGCCGCAGCATCTGGGGGCTGAGCCGCTGGATGAGGCGCAGGCAGCGCTGCCAGAAGCGCTCTTTATCCGGCTCCACCAGGAAGGGCTTGAGCGGGTAGGAGATCTCGTTGCCCATATAGGAGTAGGCGAGGTAGAGGCAGGTGAGGAAGGCGGCCTGCAGCTCGGCGGCCGACGCCAGCTCGTCCCCGCGCAGCGACTCTCGGCACAGCAGGTACACGAACACCAGGTTGGCAGGCGTAATGAAGGCCTGGTCTTGCCAGCCCTGGAGCAGCAGCGAGCGGTCCACGCCTCGGAACCAGCCCACCAGCTCGCCGGGGCTCAGCTCCTTGAGGCGGTAGCAGCGTCGGCACACGAAGTCGCCCAGGCAGCGCAGCAGCTCGCCTGTGGACGCCTGCACGATGACCCGCCGCGGCGATCCTCCAGGCCCCGGCGGCCCGGCCGCCTGCGGGGCTGGGGGCGGAGGTGGCGGCGGCGGCGGCTTCCCTCCGCCCGAGCCTGGCGGCGGGGCGGCCGCGCTGCCCCCCGACGGCGGCTCGCAGGTGGCGGCAGCAGCGGGCACGGTGGGCACCGGCACGGCCAGGGGCTTGGCGGCGCCCCCACCGCCGTCGGGGGGGTCCCGGCCCTTGCGAAGAAGGTTCTCGCGGTTGCGCTGTTGGACCAGGGGATCGGGGCCCGTGGACGCCGGCTTGGGCGTCACCTTCTTGCTGCCTTTCTTCTTCTTAGCGGACGCGGCCACCAGGCGCTTCCAGGTGAGGGCCGAGATGAGCACGGACGGCCGCTTGAGCCGGCTCTCGCCTTTGCCGCCCTTGCCCAGCGGCGGAGCCCCGTAGCCCCCCAGCGCCTCGTCCCCCGCGGGCGGCGCCTTCTTCTTCTCCTCCGGCAGCCCGCCGGGCCTCCGGCCTTTGGCCGAGGAGGCAGGGGACAGCGATAGCACCGTGCCCATCGTGCAGAGCTGGGCCGGCGCCCGGCTCCCCGGCGGGAACCGCGGGCCGCGCCGCTGCTGCTGCAGCCCCGGGGGGACCCGGCGATGGGGGGCCTCGCCCCGGCCCCGGGGGCGCGCGGAGCGGCGGCGGAGCGAGGATGCTCGGCCGCGGCGGCGGCGGCGGCTCCGGGTCTGAGCTGCGCCAGCTGCGGCGTCAGCCCCACCCCTCGGGCCCCTGCTTTCGCTGCGCCACGCCCCGGCTCGAGCAGCCAATCGTCGCCCGAGATGCCCTCCCGATCGGCAGCTTCTATGGCCTATAGCATCTCACAGGCCTATCCGAAGTCCCACCCGATCTCTCATCCCCATCGCTGTCTGGGGGTCCTTTCCCTTCACCCGAAGGGGAAAAGGGAGGAAGGGAAGGGAAAGGGCGTGTACTCCCGGGATCCCGCTGTGGGTCAGAATGGTGGGAGACGGACGTGGCTGCCCGCATCCTATCCTCTGGGATCCGGGACTCTGGATCAGCTTGTTTTGATGTTCTAAGTCGCCTTAGCAAAGAAGTCATGGAAACAGCATCCTCCCCTCCCCTCCAGTCTGTGTGCAGGGTTAGCGTGGGCAGCGAGGGCCTTGATCCTCTGGACGCCCCCAGCCCAGCTGGGTGGCACTGCTCCAGTCCCTCTTATCTGGCCAGGGATTGCTTTCTCGAACCTTCCATTCCCTTTCCCAGCTAGCCACTATGGGGATGGGGAAAAGATGAGGGGAGGAGGGCCATTAGACCCCCAGACACATGGCTGAGGCCCCTGCTTGCCGGCCTGATTCTTATAAGGCAAGCCTGTGGCAGCAGGCCCTGGGCTCAATGGGTTGTCCCCTCCCACACACATGGATCGCACACTTGGGTGGTATGATGGCGGGCCATGGGCTCAGTTGGCCTTTGCGGGCTAAGACAGTGGGTGGTATGTTTCTGTGGAGGGAGGCTGGAGGAGGTGGGCCCAACCTCTGGTCCATGCCTGCGTCTATGTTGAATGCCTCTATATGTAAGGTTGTCTCATCTGTTCCCATTGCTAGCTCCAAGCTGCTGGGCTGGATCTGGCTGATTTCTCTCTGGCTCTCCCTGACCGCCACAAAGTATAGGTCTTTGTCCTGGGTCTTGGACCAAGATCTGTTTTTTTTTTTTTTTTTTTTGATTACATTGCATTATGTGACACAGTTTTATAGGTACTGGAATTTCCCCCACCCCTCCCCAAACCCCCCCATGGAGGATTCCTCCACCTTGTTGCATTACCACAGTTCAAATTCAGTTGAGATTCTTTCACGGCAAGCATATAGCAAGCATAGAGTCCAGCATCTTATTATCCAGATAAGTTCAACGGCTTGTTGGGGAGACCCTCTCTGGTCTGAAGGTAGAGCCGGCAGAGTATCATCCCGATCAATTAAAAGCTCCATTACATCAGTAACAGTTGATAATGTTATGAAATTAGTTGGCATGGTATTGAGTAACCAATATGTTAAAAGAGAGAAAAAAAAGAACGCAAGTTCTGAACCACATCCTGTGACTTCTACATTGGCATTTCAATTATTAGTTTATATACAACGGGGTTTGGACCAAGATCTTGTCCTGGGCTTCACCTATGGGTCCTGAGCCCAGCTGGATCTGGTCCTGTTCTGCATGCCTCAGAGGATAACATGGGCCCTTCTTGGGGGTTCTTTCAACACAGGCATCTTCCAGTTTCTTCTGTGGCCTGTGGTCCTGGCTTTGTTGGGGATTGAAGTCCCTGCCTGTGGATCCTGGAAGGTCCTCAGAATTGCCTCCATTCACTCACACAGTCTCCAATGTCTACTTCTGGGAGGACAGTGTGTGATTCCAAATAGGCTGACCTAGAATGCCCTAGGGCTGCATTTCCCACTGCTGAGGCCCCAAATTTTCCTGACAATCCTGCTATGCCGGCTCACTCTCGCCCTCCTGGAGCCTGCACTTGGGCTGTCCTAGGTCTGGCCATATGCAGACCTGTGCCTCCTACCTAACTGGGCATCAATGTAGAACCCAGTAGGCACTCTCCTACCCCCCTTGGATCCAATCTTGGTTTTCCTGCATCCTAAGCTGACCTGCCCAGCCTCCTATTCTCCCTGTAGATGTAGGCAAAGGTTATGTCCTTTCAGCTCCCATCACAGGCCCCGCAGCCTCCTACAAGGCTTTGGGAGGCAGCCTTTATCTGACACCCTGGCAGCAGTGGTTAAGTACAGGTGCATGGAGACTGGATTGTACAGGCAGAAACCCTGGGTATGTGTGGATCTGAATGGCCCATGCATCCTCTTGGCTCTATTTCTGGGAGTCTCTTTTTGACCTAAGGCCTATTGCAAGTGTCATTTGGGACAACTTCCATACAACTCCTGGATATTGCCAAATGAGTGTCCTTATGAGAGAGCCTGTCATAATCTCCTGTTGACATTTTGCTCAGAATTAACAATCCCCTCCTCCACTTTAGGATCCCTAAACCAGGTGCCTTTGAGGGTCTCTCTGTTCTTGCCACTCTTTTTGCCTCCAACCCTCTTTTGGTCTCTCCTCCTGCTCTGAGCTTCTATCTGCTGAGTGACAACCTGAAGGACTCCACTGGCTGAGGCTGGGCCAGGCCAAACCCAGGAGCCTGCAACTCCGCCCTCCAGGGCTCCCATGTGGGTGGCAGGAGTCCTAAAACTTGGCTGATCTTGGTGCTCCTATTTGTTATTGTTAAGATGTGTTTGTTTAAAAATGAAAATATTCACGAGACACTGAATAGTGTCCTATAGCCATTTTAAGGTGGGTAGAAGCCGGTTGTATATAAACTAAAATTGAAATGGCAATGAAGTAGTCATAGATGTGGTTAAGAACTTGCATTTTCTAACATATCAGTCACTCAATACCATGTCAATTAACCCCATAATGCTGTAAACTGTTGTTGATGTTATGTTATGGCTTTTAAGTGGTCGGAACGATATTCTGCCAGCTGTGCTTTTAGACCAGAGATGGTCTCCCCAAGAAACTGTTGAATTGATCTGGACAATAAGATGCTGGACTCTATGCATAGTACATGCTTGCAATGAAAGAAACAAGACTGGATTTGAACTGTAATACTGCAATAAGGTGGATCAATCCACCATGAGAGGAGGGCACGGAGAGGGGTTGGGAGAACCTCAGAGCCTATGAAATGATGTCATAAAATGAAATGCAATTTTTAAAAATGTGCTTGTTTACTTATTTGAAAGAGTTACGAGAGAGAGAAAGAGCTCAAGCATACAAGAGAGAGAATCTTCCATTTTCCTGGCTCATTCCCCAAATGTCTGTAACAGCTAAAGCTAGGCTAGTCTAAAAGCAGGAGCCATGAGCTTCTTCTGGGTCTCTACATGGGTGTAGGGGTCCAAGCACTTGGGCCTTTCTCTACTGCTTTCTCATGCACTTTAGTAGGGATCTAGATCGGAATTGGGCCATCCAGGATTCAAAGCAGCACCTATATGGGATGTCACAAACTGCAGCTTTACCTGTTACGTCACAGCACCAGCCCAATACTTTTTGTGTCGTCAGCTTTTTTGTTCCCTTCTCCTCAGCTGCTGCAGTTAGAAGCTGGGCTCTGGGTTGAGGGCCAAAATAAAAAGGTGGGTGTGGATGGAATTTTAAGGTGTCAGCAGGCAAAGCAATCAAAGAATCGATTCATGAAGAGTGACAGTTTTGCTGCTGTGTATAAGCAGGAGGCAGGGGTTGGTGAGAAAGGGACATTACCTTTGTATGAAGTGAAGACTAACAGGGATAAATGTAATGAAATTCAGACTTCGAAGAGGAAATGGGCTTCATAGTGGGTGCTGCTTAGGGTTACTGTTCTCTGTCTTATGTAACTGTATCAGTTCTTTCCCCTCTATCTGTCTGTTTTCAGTATGCTCCTGGGGGCAATGCTGACTATCTAAGACACCTTGCATGGGAAGCCCCCTAAGGCCAGGCTCCTTGACCGTCTGTCATTCTGCAGGCTTTGGCTAAAGTAGCATATTGTCAAGACAGCTGGTTATTCCTGAACCCTCTTTTTTTCCCGTTAATTATTTTCATTTTTTTAAATGATTTTTGTATAGTTGATTAGGATAAGGGTCAAAGGCTATAGGACGGTAGATGAGATCACCATTTTCACATTCTCTTGTTTTCCCTTTCTGTATCTGAGGGAAAGGAAGAGGTAAGGAGAGAAACCACACCCAGCCTCCCAAATGCCTCTGCATCCTGGGATGGAAGACAGCCACCTAACACCACCCCAGGGTCCCCAATGTGGGACATACTCTGAGGGTCCTGCTCAAGATGTTTCAATAGTTTCAACAGTTCTGAATTACTGCCGGTCTCTACTACTCAAGCATGATGAATTTTCTCCAGAATTCACTGGTTGACCTAGTCCATCTTAAAGTCTCTATTTATCCAGATATTCACTGCCAACACTTGGCTGGGGTAGTTGATGAATTTGTTCTAGCCTCTGTTGTGGTACCAGGTGTCCTCTACAGTCTCCAGTGTACTGTCATGTTCTCCATGTGCTGCTTGATATGCTGTCCACTGCTCCATCTAAGCCATTGAAGAAGCCCAGTTCTGACACAAGCACTCCATGGTCAGACCATGGGACCTGTAATTCTCTCCATGGTTGGGGTTCTGAGTCCAGCAATTCAGTTGGGGAGATCCCTATAGAAACATCTGAAGTGATCCCAGACCTGATATGTGTGTGTGCCTGCCAATACAGAGTCCCACACAATCCGTTGCCCTAAACGATTTATGTACACACTGGTGCTTGCAATTGCTGGGTCAGTTCTACTTTCAACTCTGTCTTCTACACAAACCAATGGGTGTTGCAGCCTAGCCTGATCTTGCCCACCACACACTTGGTCTTCACATAAACCAGTGGGAGCAGACTCTTAGAGAGATCCCCGATACCCCTACCAGGCCTGCCCCTGTGTTGGTTCCCATGCTTGTCAGTATGTATAGCAGACTGGTCCAGTATGTCCCACATCCTATTCAGCTCTCATACATGTCAATGGGCATTGAAACCTAGTTCAACCCAACCAACCTCACTATCCAGCCTACACATGTGCCATTGGGTACCACTCTGTTTAGCCATGCCTGTCCCAGTCTTGGTTCTCATGCTCACCAATGGGAGTGGCAACCTAAGAGGGATTTCCT